GTTACTACTAGTAAGGCCCTTGTTACTAGAAGCGATGCACTTGTTACGTTCGTAGCTTATTGCATCAGTCAGCTTGGGCGGCAACTCGACATTCGGTCTCTGCTGCATCTTGATCGGGCTGACCTGGACGTAGATTGATCTCGTCGATGAATCCGTCCGATGAAAAAACTGACGTCGTCGTTGACACCGATGGAACCGATGAACAAGCAAGGCTTTTGACGTCGTCGTTGACCACCAAACATAGAAAAGCACCAGCAATGCCCTCAAACCTAGAAGCGATGGCCTCCAACCTACTAGCAATGGCCTCCAACCTAAGAGCGATGGCCTTCGATTTACTAGATCCCTTCGTTGACCACCAAATATAGAAAAGTAGATCCCCACAAACGAAAATCTGTCAAAAAGCCGTGCCACTCTCTATTTGCCGCCAACGCTTCGTCTACCGTCGAACCGGTCGGTTTCAACGTCTTCTTTGGTCGCTTCGTCTGGGAGCCACGCAAAGGCAAAGGCTCCAGGTGCCTCGTGAAGTCGATTCATCCAACATCGTGATGAATAACCCCTCTTCCTATTAGGTTGGAGGCCATTGCTAGTAGGTTGGAGGCCATTGCTATTGCATCAAGGTGCTCGCCCAAGCATCCACCACCTTTTTGGTGCTTTTTGCAGTGGAAGAAGCATGCAAAAGCCTCTTCAAATCAACGCCCCTGCTGTTTTGGTCCGAGCGCCTCGGACCATTTCTCCACCAAGGCAGAGAAGGAGGAGCTGCGTTTCACAGCCACCTGCGACGAAATGGATCCAATCGATCTGATCCTCACTGGATCGTCAAAGCAATGGCCTTCAACAAAGGCATTGTCGCATAATCCTTCGAAAAAGAACTCCATGATTGTAACAACACCAATGCTGCTGTCGAGTTGTTGAGGTTGTTTCGTCTTCTTTTTTGAAAGGTGCTGTGTTCGATTCCAAGCAAACGCAATGCGGATTTTGGTGTCAAGATGTGTCAAGAAGGTCACGAGCCAACCGTTTGTCTGATTCTGCAACATCGGAGAAAGGATGAACTAAAGTGCGCTGGTCTAGCCTCAGCTCATAATATGATCATATTATCGCTGGATAGGAGAATCCCCAAACCAATAGGCGTAGCCGCCAAACCAACGGGGAGACACCCCCAAACGGAGCCCGTTCGTCCCCTGCCGGGCCTTCACGGCATGCCGCTGGCCGCTCACCATGCGCTGCAAGCGCGCGGGGCTTAGGGGCCGGGGCCCATGGCTAGGAGGCCTGGGAGCCCGGAGAAAAGGAGTGAAGAGAAGGAATTCTAATTCTTATTGTTACTAGTAGTAAGGCACTTGTTACGTTCGTAGCTTCTTGTTAATACCAGTAAGGCACTTGCTCCGTTCGTAGCGATGCACTTGTTCCTAGAGAAAGAAGACAAAAAAGGTAGCATCCTTGCTACTAGTCGAAATGCCCTTGTTACGTTCGCAGCTTCTTGTTCCTAGTAGGAATAGTAGCATCCTTGCTCCGTTCGTAGCGATGCCCTTTGTTACTAGTAGCGATGCTCTTGCTACTAGTAGCTTCTTGCTACTAGGAGGTTCTTTGCGGAGTCGACTTTCTTTACTTTCTTCCTTCCTTCCTTTCTTTTAATAAATGGGCCTGAAGGGGCTTGAAATCTGGAACGCTATGTAAAGAAGAATACCTCTGCCTTTATTGAATCTGAAATCTGTTCAAGAAGCCCTAGCAGTATCTGAGTGTGCGCACGGTGGTTGGCATGGCAAGCCGGCTGCTGCCATAGAAGATTTGTTGACAGATGGGGAATAAGCCTGCGTCGGTGCCGCTCTGCACAAACCGGTTCCCAGCGTCGTGCGGTTGGTTCCAGCTGGTCGTGCGATCAGTTCGTGCGATCGGGCTGTCCGAAGAAACGTTCGAATGCCACAAGAACAAAAGGATGGTGACCGGTAAGGGTATAGCGAGTTGATGAAGTCCCCTTTACAAGGATCCTTACTAACCTTCGCTATGTGTTCCTCACTCATCTTGGCTCCTTCTATTTCTTCACTCATCATCAGGCCTTCCCCTTGTTGAAATCGTGACTCCTGCAGAGTTGGAGTCAAAGTCGAACTGGGGCAGACGACTTTCTTCGTTGGAACATCGGACGCCCAGTTCGGACGGACGCTCCTGGTAATGATGCTATCTCGTCCAGTACCTGCAGCCAGGACGCTCCGGAGTTGGCAGAATGCGAGTGAACTGCATGAAAACATCTGTAGTTACTGTAGTTCCAATACTGTATCTGCTTCATATTCTGTTTCGTATTGGATTTCCAAATCAGACCACCAAGCCAACCAAGCTTCTTCTTCGCCCTCACGTCTCTGCAGTCTCTGCCTCCGCCCCCCCCTTGTCCCCACCCCCGCGACGGCGGAGACCAGGCGGCCGGACCATTCGGCACGTAGATGTTATTGATGCCGCGGAGGCCTCGGGTGAGAGGAGAGCCTGGAAGAGGAGGAGAGGGCAGGAGAAGCCAATGACCAAGCACCAAAGCTGTACAACCTGGCCATTTTCCTTGTTTGCATCAAGCTCATACTGACATATCAGGCGTACCAAGAAACGGCCAAACGCCTCTGCAAATGCTCGAATTCGACGGAACGAGAAGATCAAAGTCTAAGAATCTGGCCATACATGGGCGAAACGCCACGGGCAGCCAAATCGGCACGTTGCGGGGAACGCTCAGGGCAGCCCGCGGCAATGCTCACCGCTTCAAGCGGCAGTTGACTCCTTGTTTCCTGTCTTCAGTTGTGGACGCTAAATGATTGACACCTTGTTTGGAAAGCACGGCGAGATGGTGACCTACATCAGTTTTTCGTCTCGTTCACAGTTTGGCTGATCATCTCATCTTTCTCCAAGCGACTTTGCACTGCGAGCAAAAGCGGAATGGACGGGCGAAGTGGCCGGCCCAATGGCCAGACGCGTTATTCTTACGATCGCTTCAAGATCTAACTCCAACAGGTTGACTAGGCCTACTACTAGGCATCAACAGCCCAACAAATGGGGTTTCTATACTTCCCACACAAAGACATGGCCTATCATCCTTTCAGATCCTTTTTGTGTTGTTCAATTTGTTAAAATCTACTCGGAACCCCCATGGATTGTGCTAGGAAAGCAAGACACAAAAACCACCCTGCTGCCTTTGCTCATCCACCGTTTCGTCGAATTGTCCAAGGGCCACACTTCCCCTGCGACGCGCCACTGATCGAATTCCTCCGGAGTCACATAGCGAGTCACCTGGAAAGCGGCAGTGGCAGGAGGTGTTCCGGGTTGCAAAATGCATTGAGGAACATGGAATTTGCCATGGAAATTCAACATGGTGTCTTGAACATTTGGAGTGACAAAACTAACATGAAAAAAAAAAACGCAACATGCGTGTGAATCCACAAGTGCCATTTCAGAGACAACCCAGTCCGCAGGGATAGCAGTAACATCGTTCTGAAAACGATGAACTCGGGGTGAAGTAATTCTTGGGGGTCCCCTGCTACTGAGTCCAGAGCGGTCGCTCACTTCATTGCCTCTGGTTGGTGGTTTCAATTCACCTATGCAACATATGAGTCAGTGGAATCAATCTCCTTTTGGTAAGGCCAGGAGCGCCCCGTTCGTAGCATCCTTGCTCCGTTCGTAGCGATGCTCTTTGTTCCTAGTAGCTTCTTGCTCCTAGTAGTAAGGCCAGGAGCCCCTAGTAGAGTCCTTGCTCCTCAAGAACATATCTGAAACAGCAAAGTCCCTGAAACCACCACCCAGTTTGAGGGTTGAACAAGGACGGATTTCTGGCCTTCATGTGCCTCTTGGTCGGTTGCAAGTACCTGAAATGCCGCTTCAGCCCAAGGCCGGGCATACGACAAGACTTGCAAGGCATGCAAGTGGAGAAGCTGCGAAACTGGGCCAAGATCTTGTGTTTGCTGTCATGTCCACCTGCAAACACCATGAAACATCCTTAAGGATTCTGCTGGACATCCAACAAACCCAACCGATTTCTGCCTTCCACCTGATGCCAGTCTGCTGGGCTGTAGCCATTTGCCTCTTCCCCTTTCGATCACGTCGCGTCGTCACAGAGACCGGAACCGGTCTGTCGTGCCAGACCCCTGGCGCACTGGCCAAAGGTCACCATTTCCACTCCAACATCCCGGAGATCCCGGAGAGTCTGGGCGGAAGGCGACCGAGTTGCCGAACGTTGGTACGAGGCATTTGGGGGGTCTTGAAGCTTCAAAGTCTGCTGACTCTGCTTTGGCTTGAGGCTTTCCATTCTTTCCGTTTTCTGTCTTCTGAATCGCCTCACGTCTGCCAGCGATCCCGCCTGCTGAATTTCCTCATCCTGCTCTCCTAATCCGAGCATGATGGACGATTTCGTGACCACGTCTGGCCGCACCTGCAGAGCGGCTCGGCGGAAAGTGGCTCCATGTGATGGCATGTTTGGAAGAATAGAGGGGCCGGCTTGGTACCATTCCTACTGGGAACAAGGTTCGCTACGAACGGGGCGCTCCTGGCCTTACTACTAGGAACAAGAAGCTACTAGTAACAAGTATCATATACCAATTGGTTGTACACTTGGAGTCTATGAATCTATGAAACAATTAATTAACAATAAATATACTGAAGGGCCTTTCCAAGGGTATATTTTCCACGGAATATTGAAACATGTTGTTGGGGGTGGTTGAAAAGGGTTGTAGGTAAATATGCCAGTCCCATGGAGATGGCATGGGACATTCTCATCGTTTTTGTATCTCTTGTGCTACTCGTCTCTTCACTCATCAGCGGTGAAACGTGAAACAAGGCAGCACTGCATCCCTTTCGGACCCAGAAACCTCTCGAACCGGAAGCTCTCTTGGCCTCAAAACACTTTCCAATCCGACTCCAAAGTCCTACCCGGAACATCTTTCAATTTCGTGGCCTCCACCGGAGGACGTCCCTCTTCCCCCCGCGCGGTGCGTGGGACCTCCTTGGCGTGACGCAGGACCTTCAGCGACTGGGCGTAGCCCGCGCGACGGTCGCGCACCGTGGACTGAAGCCGCTCCACCTCGGTCGGGACGGGCGTCAGATCGCGTGTGGCAGGATCGAAGGATCGAAAGATCCACAATTGGAGGTTTTGCGTGGAAAAATGCTCTCAATCGTCCTAGTGTTTTCAAGGAATTTTCATCGAACTGCAGTCTTGGGACATTTGAGACTTTGGGTTTGAACACAGTGTATGTCGGCCTTCACTCGCTTTTATCTCACTTGAACCGTTGGAAAACGGAACACCAACACAAACAACACCAAGCAACAAGTCAAAGTTAAGATCCGTCGTGACCGCGAAGTGGCAGCGGCTGCGGACCTTTTCATCACTTGAGCCAAAGGTACAATGTTCATGAACTGTGCCTATACATATGAGGTGCACTTTACACGGGAACCTTCAAGTCCCCCCTCATAGTGAGATGAACATATGTACAGCTAGTATTCCAGGTCTGAGACAGTCGCTTCATTGCTTGAACCGTCTGTGACCTGACAATTCCTATCGAAAGACTGCAAGCTTAACCTAACAGGCTTACGAACGGCAACCATGCAAGCTTGGCGCTACGGTGGGCAGTAGCACTGTGCGGCATGCATTGTCATGACTTTCATTCGGGGCAGATCTAACTTAGTTTCGAACTGCTGCTGGTCATCGCTTAGCTTTAACCATTTCATTTATTGCAGATCTAGCTTAGCTTTGAACTGCGGCTGACTATTGCTTAGCTCTAGTCATGCGAGCTCCTGCCTGCATCATAAGACGGGAGCGGACTCAGGGAGAACTGCAACAACTCCAAGGCATTTCCCCATTTGGACAACGGTAATCCTTTAGTAAACATGTCACCCTTTTGCTGAGTCGTTTCGATATGCTGGACTGTGATGTCATCAGCATTGTTGACTGTTTCGGCAGTTGAGGCCACATTTATGCGGTGGGTTTTACTCAAATGCCTTAATTTATAATTTATTGGAGTAACCTTTCTGGATAATCGAGACCACGGCCGTATTGTCTTCGAAAACCTTCAGGGTCATTCCGGGGATCAACGCTTGCCATACCTCCAAGGTAGGGATAGCCTCGGAGAATAAGGCACTGGAAAGTGAGACGAACTCGCTCTCCGTGGTCGATCTTGCAACCACGCTCTGCCTCTTGGAACTCCAACTCACTGGTGCAAAGCTGGAGGGACCCGCAACCGCAAGGATGAATCCAGAGGTTGAACGCATGGATTTGATGTCACCACCGAAATCGGCATCGCAATACAGAGACAAGTTCAACCGCTCTGGTGGATCACGAATGCACATTATCGGGGAGTATTCATGGGTCTTTTGCAAGTACCCAATGAGTCTTGCGACTCTTTTGTCGTCGTTGGCCGACCACACCGTAATGTGTTTCGCCAACAGAGTGACAGCAAATGTGACGTCTGGTCTGCTAATGCGACAGAGCCACATCAACTTCATAATTAATTTGGCCGAATGTGGCGAGAGCTGCCCCTTGATCTCGTCATCAGCAGGGATCAGGGCTCCATCGTCCCATGAGGGCGAGGAGTAGGCCTTCACCGGCGTTTTCGCCAGCTCTTCATACAGTTCAACGCACTGTTTTGCGAAGTCAGATGATTCTAAGGCCACTGCTTTGCTCCCTTGAAACCACACAAGCCTATGGTTTCGTCCTAAGACTCTTCCATATTCTGACGGTGGGTCTAAATTTATGTACTGCTTGAGGGTTTTCCAGAATCCTTCATGTTCGGAGGCTACTCCTGAGAGTGTGAGGTCGTCTACATAGACGCTCATCACAAGAGAACGACCGAACCGAAAAACCGAGGGCATCTCACTGAACTCGACACCGTTGAGTTTTCTTGCAAGATTTTGGAAAGGTGGGCCTGCCAGTGCGCCGACGACTCTGGATGGCCATAAAGGCTCTTGTACAGCTGCGCGCAAGGCATGTGGATGTGCTTCTTGGATTCTGGCACAAGCTCAGGCGGTAGCATCACAAATGTTCGATGCTTCGTGCCGAGTGCGGACTGAATATAGGCCCGGACGCAATCAGATGTTGAACAAGTGTTTCCCTCGATCATTGAAAAGGCTATCACTGTGTTCAATGCCGCAATTGAACTCGGAGCGGAAGCAGCAAGATCTTGGAAGATGGCGCTCAAGCCCCCCTGATCCTTGACTGCGTCACCTCGGAAAACAATCCGAGCCGTGATCTTCCAGTCAGCTGGGTTCTTTTCATACCCCTTTATGCTAACTATCACCATTAGGGCTCCGAAATGCAGTGTTTCATTGGGAAATTCCCTGATCACGTCTGCCTTTGACCTAATCTCATCTTCAATCCAAGTCCCTTCCAAAACCAAACCATCTTTCTCGCTTTTCATGGCAAGGTAAACTTCTGGGCGACCCTTCCATTCAGCACGCTCTAACAGACGATGAACGAATGCTGGTGTTACAAACTCCTTACATCCACTCTCATGCATGAGGACATCAATGGGAACACATGGCATCCCTTTGACAACATGCTGCCGATGTGAATGATTCACGCGAGGTGTGCACGGCATGCGAAACACATGAGCATTGACGACATGTGGAAACAAAGCATGCAACATGATCTGACAAAGAGGCTCTGGGTAGAAAGCTGAGTTTCGAGTGTACTTCCCTTCAAGGGGTGCATGCCTGTCATGCGTGCACTTCAACATTCCCAAAGAATCAGCTAACCTCTTATTATTCGCGACAAACCTCCACGGCTTTCGAGCGGGTTTGTTGTCCTTGGCAGTGATTCCTACGGTGCAGCCATCGAAAGTGGCAGACAGCAGTTGCCTTTCTGTGATCCAGGAAGCTAGGGGCTCACTCATCCACCCTGAACAATACCTTGGCCACTCAAAAGACACAAAACCACCATTATCAAGAACATGGTTTGCAACCCTGATGAACGAATGCATCATTGAAACACTTTCCCTACGCTTTTCTCGAAGAATGTTGGACAATCTTGGGTTCTTTGCCTCATTCAACCTTTGCCAAGCACTCCAGGGACCACACTCAATGGAACCATGGAGTGAACAACCAGGGATGGCTTTCACTTGCTCAACAAGTTGGTCGATGTTTGCTTTACTTGCAAGATCTATGTGTTCCTTACAAAGTCTTACAACTTGAACTCCAAGCTCCTCACCAATCCTACCGAGCGCTGAGTCTGAAGCACAGGCAAATTCAAACAGAATCTTGCCACCTGGGGAATTGTGGATCTGGCTGTGTAGACGCTCAGGCTTTGCAGCTGCTCCTAGACAGCTCTCATTGCTTGCAGCGACTGCTGATGCATACGTTTCTTGAACAATCGTTTCAGGAGCTTTCTTGGAAATGGCATCGCGAGACATGGCAAGGACGGCATTAATGCCTGCACGGACACGAGCTTCATCACCCTCAGGTTCGTCTTCATCATCAGAGGGCGGAGGACATTCTGGGACAATCTCCTCTTCATCCTCTTCGGCCTCTGACAAGACAGTTGGGGTGTACTCTTCGTCAATCAAGTCTCCTAGGATCTCCGGCATTTCGAAGGTCGGCGGCTCAGGTGCTGGGGTCGAAGGAGCAGCACCGAATGCTTCCTCATACCGGGCAATGCATTCGGCATTGTGTGCAGACGAATCAGCATCACAACCTTTGCATCCCTTGGTCGAGCTGATCTTCAGCATCCTACTGTACGTGATGTAAACTCTGCGTGCTTTAGACTTAGTCTCTGGGGAATCTTCGATGAAAGGAATTGGCAGAGGATCCACGTCAGCGAGTTGACGAACATCAGGATCCGAGAAGTCATTCAATGCCTTCTCTGCGAGATCTCTCAACGGAAACACACGCTCATCACGAACATAAACCTCTTGATCCGGGGCGACCACAATGGAAACATGACCTTGCTTCAAAGAGTTGTAATCCACAAGTCTCAAAACACCTTTGTACCGACACCCAAACTCAAGCTTCCAACCTCCCATTAGGGCTGGTGAAGAATTGGGGGCGAGTTTTGACTTCTCTTGAAACTTTGTTCTATAGAAAACTAACTGACCCAAAATGTAATCTGCACCTTTGAACTCAGAACCAAAAGCCTTTGACCAATGCTCGATGCTCATGGAAACAGCTGTGTACTGGCATGTCAGGGTCCAAAGCTTTGGGAACACAGCGAATCCTGCTTGCAAGTGCATGCTTCTGCAAGACTCTTCAAAGGACCTGATTTGTCTTTCAAGTGCACTGTTGTGAGGCCATCTCCTAGGCAATGATGCGTCTGACAACCAACCGAGTGAACGAATGGCTTTCAGAAGCTCCTTGGCACAGTCTGACTTACAAATGGTTTGAGGGTTCTTGGCCTTTACACCCACAAAATGGTTCAGGGCTTCCTTGACCGAATCAGTATCTTTTGTTGCCAGAGGGTATGCTTGGAAAACTTTGCTGAACAAGTCCATCACCACAAGAACAACAAATTCCTTCCCCGACGAAGACTTTGAAACGATCATGTGATCACATGCAATTTGCTGGCCGAACGCTTCAGGAACAGGAAGATCACTCTCTTCGTCTGCCCTACGATGGGATCTGATGCGTTTTGAGTACAACCTAGCACGATTGCAAACATCACAAAGTGCGGACTTAGGGAAATGTGTCATGCAATGCTTGGTGGACAGTGCAAGTTCCCGTTCACGCACGAACTTCTCAGATTCAGGGACCTTTGGCAAAGCCTCACCTGGAGCAACGCCACGAATGTCGTCTGCAACTGAATGCGGAATCGCACCTTCAGGAGACCGGACCTCGGGTTCTGCTTCAACAGGTTCCACCTCACCTGGCACGCCTGGAATAAAATCAAATGATCTGGAGAAATATGGTACATACTGATCAACCCTCGTTGCTCGAACCAAATTGCTTTCATCCGTTTGGAACTGGAATTGATTGCAGTCTTTTATATAGCATGGGAGTTGATTGGGCAACCACAAAAACCCCATACCATTGCTGACATCAAGACCAACAGACCGGACAAACGGGCATGAGTCAAGCACGAAGTGATTTGCCTCTTGCAAGATGCCTTCACGATCCCTGAGACCGTCGAATCTCTCGTTCCTCCACCTGTCGAAAACCTCAGGCTCTCATGTGAAGGAAGCTGGAACTGGCTGAACACCTCTGGAGACACTCCCTGCCTTTCTAAGCTTTGCGGAGAGACAAGATGTCGGCCGGCACCTGTGTCTGCAGCAAACTCTAGACGGCCTTCAACTGGCATGGCCATCGATGAGAGGGCAGCAACAATGGCAACAGCAGCCATTGCTTTGGCTTTCGGCTTTGGCTGGGCCTTTGGCTTAGCCGTTGCTTCGGCTTTGGCATCAGGCTTGACCTTCTCATGCAAGTACGCGCATGAACTGCCGTGCACACAACCGGAAGGCATTTGGAAGAACACGCAAGGCGTTTTCGCCTTGTCTTCCTTGCTCAAACCCTTGCCTTTACCTTTTCCCTTCTCACCCTTGCCTTTATCACCTTTGCCACCTTTACCTTTGGATTCACTCTTGGGCGACGAAGGATCAGCTGGAGCCGCCGGAGTCTCCTTAGGAGGTGGTGGCGGAACCGTGGCAGCCTTGGCAGGGTTTGCAAGAGGATTCGACTTCTCCTTTGGATCTTTCTTCCACGACTTTGGCTTCAACGAAAGCTCAATGGACCTAGCATTGGTATCTTCCCTTTCCTCAACGAGGTGCTCCTGCAATCTTCCCCAAAGGAAGTCGAAATCACGAAGTTCCGAGTTATATGCGGAGCGTTTGATCTCGTCGATGGTCCTTTCAAGCTTTCGAACATTTCTCAACCGATGGAACAACCATTCACCTAACATTCTCTGATTCGGCCAGTCGGCAGGGTCAATGGAGTTCAAGGTCTTCATGACTGTACCGCTAAACTCCTGGAGATCTTTCAACGAAAAACCATTGAGTTCCACCTGGAAGATGCTTTGCGATGTGAGCAATGAACCACGAGTACGATCGAGATCGAAATGTCGAGCAATCATGTACAAGATCATCCTACCCCGAGGGACTGTGGACTGACGAGTGCAACGCTCAACATACCCCTGAACTTTGAACAACAACTCAGGGCTTGACCGCACATTCTTGAGAAGCTCAGATGCAAGCCACCTATCAAACCTTGGGATCAGGCCTGATGAACTCTGGCATTCTTTCTCCTGACCTACCTCGAAAGCCGTTGCAGCCCACTTGGAAAGGTATTCATTCGACGAGATGTCCAAGCGGCCAAGCATCAGAAAGAAGTTTGTCTTCCAAGCTCTAAAGTCTGCAGCACTCTGAGGGACCACTTCCAGTTTGGTGTGCAACAAAGCTCTAGAATCAACAATCTCCCTTTCTGAGGCATGTGAGGGCGATTCTGAAATCAACTCCTCTTCATCGTCGTCCGACCCTTCACCCCCCTGATCGATCGGATCGGGCGGACCTCCGGGAAAGCCTTTGCCAACACGAAGTCCACGAGAAGGTCCTACACGAGATGAAGATGAATGGACAACTGCATCATGCGAACGATCGAACAAAGGTCGAGGCTCACGATTTAGATCCGTGCTATTTCGGCTTGATTCAAGTGTCAACATTCTGGAACTGAGTGACTGAACAGCTTCCATGATTGACTCCAACATTCTGTTGCCTCCTTCAGTGTCCTTGGGCGAAGATGCATCAGGCACAGGCTTCGGAACGAAAGCAGGTGCAGGCGACTGGATGACCGCGGCGCTTGAAGCAGCCAGTCGGGCCTCCAGCGACGAGATGCGATCTTGTCGAGACGAAGACTCTTGGCAAAGACGCTGGATTTCTGAATCTTTATGGCCTAAAAGGTTGAGGGACTTTTGGTTGAGGTCGGACAAACGGTCGATCTCGTCCTTCGCTTTGCGAAGTTGACCCTCAAACATGGACTGGTTGAATTTGATCTGGTTCTCAAGAGTTTGCTTTACCTCTTGGACCGCTTCATGCAAGCTGGTGATCATGACATCTTTCTTGGTGTGACCTGTTTGGAGCATTTCGTTCTGACTACGGAGTTCTTCGACCAGGGATGTCAGGTAACCGATGTGAGCTGTGGCTTCCTGAAAGACTTGTTGAGCGACACCTTCGAAGTGCGAAGCCCTAGAGTCCGCTTCCCCGATCAGTCGTTGAGACTCAGCTACAACACGACCGAACTCTGCATGATCGATACCAACATATGCCACCTGGACCGTGTTAAAAGACCGGGCGTCATGAAGGTGCAATTCTTGTGTCAAGCTAGTTTGATTAGGCATGACTTCATCTTCCTCTCCGGTACCCTGGAACTCGGATGGACCAACCGACCGCTGGAGCAACCCCACTGGACGAAGGCAAAGACCGAAGGTCAGTGAGCGCAGGAATGGATGGTTCAACCACTGATGACCCCTCTGCTTGAACCTGGGACTGAGTACCTTTGGGCATGTTTTTGATGACTCTGCTCGAAGATCTCTTTGGAGGTTTTGATCTCCTTCCCTCTTGGGGTGTTCCGGAACCATGGGAGGATTGGGACCTGCTCCGAACTGCAACTGCCAAACCACCAACAGTAGTATCTGAACTGACATTCAACGATGAAGATTGCTCTTCTGACATGGTTCACTGGCCAACTATCCAAACTCTCCCAATCCCTTCTTTCTTTTCGGCGGGAACGAATGCACAATTGGCACAGGCTCTTTTCGGGAACTGGCCTAACGAACGAGGCTCCGCGGCGCTCAAAGCAGCCGGACCGGAGCAGCTTCGATGCAACTTCACTCTTCCTCGTCAACTGGATTCGAATGGTGATGCACGAAAGTCACCAAACGATCCACCAACCAAGGTGCTGAAAAACTCCAAGACCTTTGCTCTTCGTCAAAAATCGCTCCGACCCGAGGCTTGCGAATCTGAATAGCGATGAGGCTCGCTGCACTGAACTCACGCAGCACCTCAACGTTGTCGTCTAAAATCACAGCCTGACCACGAGTCAACGATCTCAGCACCTCAAACTTTCCACCTGGGCCCGTCCTTTCACGAGTGATGATCAGACAATCAACCGACAATGAACTCTGTTGTACTGCAGTGATCAAGTTCCTCTCGTTCACCACACTGTCGTGAATGTGCGACAAAACAATGATCTTCACTCGACAACGCAAGCCGACCTCTTCAATCTCCCTTCGCAAGCGACGAACTGCCGCAACGTGGCCCGCAGGCAGATTACCAATATGATCCACACGATCCGGAGGATTGACACTCCGATCAACGTCAAGGACCTGATGGTAGTCCAATGCAATCACCGGATCAGAGCCCTAGTGATTCGGCCTTTCTGCAGCCAGCCTCAACGTATCACCGTTCGCCCACACGTAAAACTTGGCTGAAGACGGAAAAGTCAAGGCCTCTCTGTAAACAATGTCAACTCGCGACCACGGGTGAAGAACGACTCCAGGCGCCGGGTGGTAGTACTTGAGGATGTCGTAAGGCCGATTTCCGGCAGGCGGGTCAACAACACTCGAATCCGCTCGACTCGGAACAGGCCTTGGGGCCGCAGCCAAACTTGACGAGCCGGGCGAATGATCGAAGACGTACGGATTGTAGAGCCTTGAACGCGGCACAAGATGCTCAGCCTGCAACGAAGTCAAATCAACTGCCGATGTATGCGCAACAATCTCAACTTCGTCAGTCTCCTCACCCGAATCCTCGCTTGCACTCGGCTCCCAAAACCTAGAAGCTCCAAGTGGCCTTCTCTGACCGCCAGCGTGAACAATCGGAATCGTCGCTCGATCGCCTCCCGAATTGACAATGTACGCTTCCCTGCGTCGCCGTGCGGCAGCTCCTCCCCGAATGCCACGCCTCGGAGGGTCCGGAGGCGTTGGTGGCCTCCTTGGTGGCGGCCCTGGCGGCTCAGGAGGCCGCCACGGTCGACGCGGTGGTGAACGGGAAGGCTCTCGAGGACGCCGACTTGACATGCACGGGTTTTCTGTGGACCCCGCAACCACACTAATGAATGATGTTGTTGTGTTGTAACAGAAACCGAAAAACAATCAAAAGCCGATACGGCTGATAACCACTTGAACCGTTGGAAAACGGAACACCAACACAAACAACACCAAGCAACAAGTCAAAGTTAAGATCCGTCGTGACCGCGAAGTGGCAGCGGCTGCGGACCTTTTCATCACTTGAGCCAAAAGTACAATGTTCATGAACTGTGCCTATACATATGAGGTGCACTTTACACGGGAACCTTCAAGTATCTCGGTATCGACAGCGACCAACAATGACCAACATGCATGGTGGCATCGAAGCTCGGGCTTGATGGCGAGCGAACGCACCGTTCAATCAGTGGCTGCGAGTCACAGCCCGAATTTCAAGGGTTTCAAGAGCCACAAGGGTTCCTGAAATTCGGGCTGCGACTAGCAAGATGGAACCCTAATATTTATCTGTGACTAGCAAGTGGTTTAGGGTTAATATGATTTCTTGTGTCACAGCCGCAAGGGGTCCTGTTTATTGAGGACGATGTATACGTCCGACCAGCTAGATGTGCCAGTGGCTGCAAAGCGAGAGTTTCTCGGCTTGGTCTAGCTGCCTGGGGCCCCGACGGTCTCGACATTGTGTGCAAACACATCCATGCCACTTTCTAAAACCTGCCAATTGCGCACCACGTACATGCACAGTACGTACATCCGTTCTTCTCCCTCATTGAAACGATGACTGAAGGTGAGTGGCCTCCTCGAGCAAGTCGAGCTTTCCTTGAAAGTCACCGATCAAGGTCTCCACTTTGATGTCTGGTTGCCTGGCATTCGCAACTTGCATGACCTCCTGTGTGTGAGACGACTAAGCCTGAGGTCGACCGTCTCGCGTCTGCGCGTTCCGACCGGTTTGGAACCAGTCAACCTGCCAGTCGACCCGGGTTTCGGGGTGTCCCCCTTTTTGAGCAAACACAGCACCACACCACGGAAGCAAGGAACACCCCTCCGTGCCTCTGCTTCAATTCTCTGACGGTGGCGGCCACGTGGCTAGCACCCTGATCAGCCATATCATCTCGGTCGAGCTCAGGCTTGTCAGAAAGCCACACTGAGGCATGAGACACCCTTGGCCATTTATTTCCAAAGTTTTAGAACCTTAGATGATTTTTGTCCAAAGATCTACAAATTTTTAAGGATGAAATCACCTTCAGATTGACCTTGTCCACGCCTCCGAAACGCTCCTTTGAAACCGACCTTCACGGCCCGACCCAGCCAAAAGGTCGGCCGTCCTCGTCTTCAGACGTCGTCCTGACCGACACCACACGCGCGCGGAACCGAACCGTCGCGACCTCGCCCCCCGTCGTTCGTTCTTTCGAAGTGGCCATGGTCAGAACGATGTAGTCGACACCCCATCGAGTCACGGCTTCAGCCACCTCTCAGGGCCGGTCGGCGAACTGAGAAGGGACCGGGAACCGGGACCTTTCAGTGTCGAAGTCGAAGTCGAAGTCGAAGGGAGTCGACTCGCGGGGTGTTCTGAACCCACCCACCCACTCACAACATGGTTGAAGTCAACAGCCGGTTTCTCCTTGAACAGCTCGGTTTTCTAAGCGAAACTTCCCTTCGCTATGCAGAAGCTCCGTGGCAGAAAAGTGTGCTGCTCCACGGAGTGACTCAGTGACTCGCAGTGTACGCTTCGCGTTTCGACTCGCGTTTTTTGCTCTCCCATCAGCGGCGCGGTGGCCTTGCGTGGCTCTTCGGCATCCGGAGGTGGCGGAGTGCGAGACGTGGCCTTGGCTCCGGGGGTGTGGACCGAACGAAGAGCGGATTTGGCAATATCCAAGATAGGTCCGGTTGGGTGTTGTAGGATCTGGGCAAGTGGGGAGATCTGTTCCATAGAACATCATCAACATCTGGGCAGCAAGTATGAGGAAGAATGCGTATGCTACCACGCTGCATGGCAAATTGATAAAGACCATTCTCAGGGTCTTGTCTCTTCCTGGGAAGCGTCTGCGGTTTCGCTCGGAACGTTAGTCTGTTCCCCTCCCCAATCATCTGAGGTTGCCACAACTGAGCAAAAGCGACAACCCCGTGTGCATGTGTCACCCATGATCATCACCTGGCACCCGCTTCTACCGGGCCGCCAACGGAATCTTGGTCGACTTCATTGAACATCATTGAAACACCATGTCTAACGTTGCACTAGCTCTCTCTCTCTCTCTCAGCCCACTGAATATCTGAACACCCAAAGTAAACTGACCAGTCAATGCCCTGCAAACACATCTTGAATGCCCTGGCTTCCCTATGGATTGCATGGGATGGAGGCCGCTCGCAGCTTGGAGTGCCGTGGCCCACGGTCCGTGCGCACCGTAGCTGTCCCGCCAGACCAGCACTCGCCAGCATTGGGGCAGCGAGCCTCTTGGCACACCTAGGATCGGATTCTCAGCTGGATGGTGTCTGAATAATAGAAAGAGCTGCCAAAGAGTTCCTGGAATAGAAGACGTTTCTTTTCTGAGATGAACATACGGAAGTATCCTGCTGTGGTCTCCCCAGTTCTTGTGGCACCCCTGAAACGACCGGCCACGACTCCATAAAGTGAGCTGCTCGCGCTTGGGGCTTGCACAGTGGCCAATCCAGTCTCCTTGATGGTGGCCCTAACTTCTTTGTACCTTCCCATGCCCAAAGCCCAAGCACAATGGCAAGTGACCATGAAGGCAACATGCGAAGACTCTATTCTGCAATGCTCAAATGTCACAACCCTGGTGCGGTCTCTCGGTCTCGCCAAAACACACACCGGTCTCTGCTCCGCTCGATTCACGGCACCGCTCGGTTCCTTCGGGCGTCAAGTTCGGATTCACCATCTTCAGCCTCGGCGCGAGCGGTGCGGGGCCGGATGCATCCGAAGCTGAGCGAAGGCGAGTGACGACCAGAGCGAGAGCGAAGGCGGGGTTTGGGTCTCGGTGCGAGGTCGGAGAAGCGAAAAAGACTGAGTCTGTATTGGAGTTCACAAACTCATGCCATGACTGCCAAGGGGACATGTATATACACATAATATATGTGCCCACTTATAGAATAAGATGGGATGACATACTTCTGACGCCCTAAGTCCTTCTCATCGGTCCTTGTCAACCCACCGCGGGGGTTTCGCTTTCGCCTTCCCTTCGACCGCGGTGATCGACTGAGGCCTCCGACCAGGGCGGCTTCCGCATCGCCTGCGGACGCTTGGCTGTGGAGCTCTGCTTCGGCATGAAGTCCGCCAAGGTGAGGCCATCCGCAGGCAACGTGGAGGCCTTGTTGGGACGGAGAGGACGGAGCAGACGGATGTAGATCGGTGGTATGCCTACGCTAGTGGGTCAGTCACTTAGTACATGTCTATGGGGTACATTTGGGTACCTATGTCGGTCAACGTGGAGGCCTTGTGCTTTCTACATGAGGACTCCGTGGACTCCGTCACGTCATGCCGTTTGGCTTGACCAAACACCGGAGTCTCTTCATGTGGAGATGGCAACGAGCTCACGGAGTCTCTTGAGCACCTGAACATGGCTCCACGCGATCCAGCAACTTGACCCCTTGAGATGGCAGGGGTTCTTTGAAACTGTAGGCCTGACAACTCCTTTAGCCGTTTGGCACTAATGAGCTGAGTTGGTGGTGGCTTCCACTGATAGAGGTTTTCCAGGCTTGGAAGATTGGCGATTTGGACATGGATCTGTCACAGACCATTCTGTTCTAAGACTGAAGTGGTTGAGAATGCAAAAGTAGGCACCTTACCTAACTGCCTCATCTTCGCGGCAAGGCCGCTTGACGCTGCCTGGCCATGCGTCCAAGGTGCTGCAGCAATTCTGTGTCTCAGGGCATTGGCAGTCCTTCGACATTGGGGAGGACTGTTTCTTTTTGTAAGGCGACTCACTAAAGTAGAATGGTTGAGGCGCTGAATCTCAACTCACCCCCTAAGAACTCTCGGCTCAAATGGCAATTTGTCACAACTACTGAACTACTCATGAAAGAAAGACCCTTCAAATGTGAAGAGCTTCGTGTGGAACACTTGGTGAATGCCAGTAAGACCTCCTACAGCCACATAAACAGCAATCACCCTTCAATGGCAAAGAAGTCTTGAACTCTACTCATTCACCTCTTCCTTCGAACCGGTCCAACATTGGAAGCCCAACCACTGCAGCTTCATCAGTGGACATGTCCCGTCGATGTCTCCCTACTTCAGGGTTGTCGCCCAAAATGCCCTGAGCCGGTCCTCGAGCGCAGCAGTGGCACACTGCCCTGCAGCATAGCGGCGCCGGCGCGTGGCGCGCACCTGGGTCCGAACACTGCGATCCAAGTCGAAATGGGTTGGGTGTAACATTTTCTTCCAGTTACTAGTAGCGATGGCCTCCCCCTAGTAGCGTCCTTGCTACTAGTAGCGAAAACGCACTTTGGTCTAAGACCTTTCGGTCTTCAAGTAGCTTTGTTGGAGACCTCAATGACATGTTGATTTCTCCATTCGTGGATTCATTTCCCTCTCAGAAACACACGTCTTTTGTAGAGTCCACATCCAGCTCTATTGGAGCCAAGAAGGCTGTATCATGGTGATGCTGAATTTGGCCCAAGCGCAACCATCACACTGCGCTCAAACATCCTCAGCCTAACACTCCGGGCTACTGGGAGAGCCCCCTCGTGTGGTTGGATTCTTTGGGCAAATACCCAGTTGCCAACCTCACTTCTGGTCCGAAAAACCTCGCCCCACGAACTCGTGAAAAATCTTGGACAGGTTTCACTACTGCGAACCTGTCTTCTTCTTCTTCTAGGTTGGAGGCCATCGCTAGTGGGTTGGAGGCCCTTGCTATTAGGTTCCTTCTTCGTCTTCTTCTTCCCCCATCTCTTTCAGCTGCGTGGCCTGTCACACGCTGTCACACGAGGTTTGATCCACTCAGCTGCGAAGGGAACGACGTGGGGAAGAAGAGACTCTGGCTGTTCAAGTCCGGAGAAAGATGTCCTTCTGCCCAGACGCGACCCCTCACACCCCTTTCCCGGTCCCGAACCAAACCATAGAGATTGGTGAGAAGGTCCGGGCCCCTCCAGTCCGGATTCGGGTACAGCCCCTACCGAACGCAGGGTCCATGAGCGTCTGAGTGGTTTTCAAGATTCATTTGACCAACACACAAACACAAACACACACACAAGCTTCGTCAGCGAGCTGCACATGCTTGGTGGGCAGTCAACTGCATGACCGCTTACTGCGCGACGGTCAGTTGCACCAGAACAACCCACGGATGCCGAGCAAAAATATCATCCTTCTTGTGCTGCTTGCAGCTGGCGACGCGCGCAGGATTTCTCACTCCGCGGAAACTTTTGGTACTTGGAAGCCACGGGTTTGCCCGCAAGGCAGAAGACCGCTCAAAAGGCTAAAAATACTGCTCGTTTGCGGGGCACCGGGAGAAGCAAAGGCTCCCGGTCAAAATCTAAAACTGAGCTTCAAAAAAGTCATGGCTCCCCCGTCTGCTCGTTAAGCTCACAAACTGCTCCTTTCGCTGCTTGCATGCGAGTGGAGCTCGCTCTATGAGAGTCCCACCACTCTGGGTGGATCTTGTGTGAAGTCCAAGTCGATCTTGTAATATGCAGGCTTGATTGGAAGTCCAGGCATAAAGGTAATGTCCTGGGGGTCGCTGCGTGCAGCGATCTCTCTCTCTCTCTCTTTGTTGCGGTCGCAGGCGTTTGGTGAGGTCTGTCTATATGTGTTCTCTTGAACACTATAATGTGGTTCTTTATAGTATGTCTATACCTCCACGGATCGCACCCCCCCCATGGAACTGCTAGATATTTGTAGCTGCAGATTGTTTGGATCATACATGCATGCAGTCAAACTTAATTTCGTTTTGATCTGAAGAACGTCAAGGTACACCCAGCGAAACCACAATGAAGCCGGCCCCGGCACTGACATACCTGCAACAGACCGGCAGTGTGTCTGATCTGCTCAACCAAATAAGACTGGGGGGCTCCCTTGCAAATGAGTCTCATTTTCTACTGAAGCTTTAGACGTAATCCTTCAAGCAAGTTTCTGCTCAAAAAGTAAATTATAGAACACAAACATTCAATGTCAAACATCATCTTTTCTCTTCAGCCAAACTGCTCCGACCAAATACACGCAAAAAACCACATAGACTAAAACAAAACACCATGAAATCCATCGAAATGCTTCGTCAAGACGCATGTCTTGCACTGTGATGGTGAAGCCTTTGGGCGCTCCTCAACAGACAACGACCCGCTGCGACGAGCCAGACAGACAGACAGCGACACCGGTCGACCGTGGTTTCACTCCTAAAGACCGAAAGATCCTTACGACGACCGGTCGAGTTGTGTAGCGTGTAGCGGTGAGTGGGGAGACTTCTGAAAAACCCGCGATCTTTCATTCATCCCCCCCGTTCCTGATGGATCCGGCGTGACCATCTTTGCTTTTCGGTTCATTTTGCTTCGTGTTCCTGATGTTTGCGCCAGCCCTCGAGCTGGTCCCGAAGATGGAACCGCTTGGCCGACCGTCCGGACGCAGCCGGGAGCGTCTCCGCGCTCCGTCCCAGTCGTCGACTCGTCCAGACGGTCTTTCGTCCGAGTCTCCGAGCTTCTTGGCATCGTCCTCAGTGGTGGCAAGGACGCGAACGGAGCGGCATTGCGAACGTGGCGAACGTGGCCATTACTACGAACGGAGCGATCGGACGCTACTGGGAGCTTCTGTCTCTTTTCTTCCAGAAATCCACACGAAGAGCCCTTCGTGAACGCGATTCGGTCGTGCAGCTTGGGATTCGAAGCTTCGAGAACTGAAACGGTGACCGATCGTCTTCGCGCGAACGGTGGTTCGGCGGTTGAACACGTGTGCGCGAGCGTTCCTTCCTTGGCAGCCTCCCATCGTCGAAGCACACCCGGTTTGGTAGTTGGGCGGCCAAGATGAAGATTGCGAGTGAAGCAAAAGACTTGGGAGTCCCGACAACAGCGTTTTGCCCGTTTTGCTTTGAAAGCCAGTCGACCACAGAGTTGAAGCATGTCAAAATGCTGGTCGAGCAACTGAGAGGGAGTACTGGGTCTTGGACATGCAAATCGGTAGGCAGTTGATGGCTGGATCCGCTTGGTATCTTGAAAGCACGGCCTCCGCCTTCTCCTTGAATCATGATTCTGTTGTAGCCACAAAAAGGAATGGAACATGCGCTTGGTGATGACTCTGATTCATGTGCTGTTCGTGTTGTTTTTGTTTGACGAATACATACGAATACTCAAACTTGGATGCAATGAAAAAGCTGCTTTTCATGCAAAGCTGCAGAGTACTTGACGTCTGCTCCACCATAAACCTCTTGAACAACTTTGAGAATCTTGCTCTTGATGGAATCTTTCCTCAAGTCAAAAGCAACGACTTCTGAAACTATTACTCAGCATCGTTTGACCAGGGTAGCCTTCCAACCACTCAATATTCACCAATCTCTTTACCAGTTCTAGCATGACAGTTCCAGTGTGTGCCTTGACCCACTGCAACTTCAATGATGACTATGCAACCATTTCTTCTCATCCCAAAGCTGCTCCTGACAGGCTTTTTTGGACATCTTCATCGCTTGGCTTTTCTTGTGACTTGTGCGGGTTTCAGCTGACATTGCTCCGTGTCTGCAGTAACACACCGACTGCCTCCCAGGAGCTTGGCATCATAAAGGAACTTGAAGTCCGACGGCGTTTTGCAGGCGGCCATGACCGCTTCTCCCAGAGCTGTTGCACCAGCACCTCCCTTGGCATGATGCTCCTGAGCAAAACACACAACCACTGCGACCCGTCGCGTCCACTGTCGCGTCGACCCGCGGAGCGTTTCCACGCTCGCCGACCCGACGCGGTCACCCCAACGCACCCGGTCTCCGCGACGACCGCAGCAAAGGCCCCGTTCTCTTCAGCGATCTGGCCGGGACCGAAATCCGCGAGGATTCCGAGTGGTGTCTACGGGCGGGCGTGGTTCCGGGCCCGAAGTCGGGTCGGTGTTCGGCATTTTCTCTTCAGCTTCGCCGTTTTGGACAGAGAATGGGATTGTAGAGGAGCATCACATGAGACTTCAACCTATCAGCTGCGTCCAACGATGTCCAACGGGTCAATTGGCTGGACAACCATGATACAACCCTACGGCCCCAGGTCTCCGTTGGGCCAACATGACACATCGACAGCACGGCCTTCTTCACCAGCGCTAGCTCGGCATCCGTATCTGTGCCAAAGCGGTTGATGGCCACCACTGCCTCCGCCATTCTTGGGGCTGACTCACACATCGAATGCTCGAAGGGGCTCTAAGAAGCAGTCCGGGATTGCTTCATGTTTGTAATTTTGCGAAATATGACACGTCCAAACCAAATCCACGGCTTCGGAAAAGCAATGCAGTTCTTCATGTGTGGCGCCTTGACACCATGCTTTCGCACGTTCTGGATGTGGGCGATCAGGTTGGCACAGCCCTTCTCCACCAAATCCAAATTCTCCTGGAACCAGGTTTCGATTCATACCCTGACACTGCCTGGATCCCAGTCTGGATTCCAGGTTTTTTCAAGCCTTTTGCTCTCCTGAAGAGACGTACCACTGATACAAGAGACGTACGCCGACTCCCACCCATCGTTGCCTCTCGGTATTCCTTCGCGGGCGTTTGTCCAGCGACAATCTTGGGTGCCTGTGCCGACGAGCCCGGCAGTGCTTCCAACGAGTCTGAAATTCAGCAACCTAAGGTCAAACGAAACGAGCACAAAGTACAAACAGCACCTGTCAGACTTAGATCCACGTACGACAAACCGGAGGAGCTGACTTCCTTCCTTCCTCTTTGCCAGGCGCACAGTCATGACCATCTGACCCGGTCTGTTCCCGGTTCCAGTCCTTTTCGTCCTCATCCTTCCGCACCCACCGGACATCACCAGACCGAACCACACCGCCGCGGACCGCGGGAAGACGTCTCGCCTCGCAGCTGTGGAGTTTCAGGGCTCTCACCGAGCAAACGATCACAGCGCAGTCGGGCTTCAATCCACCTGGAGACTTGGACGTTCGACGAGCCGCAGCGTCGATGACGAACGCACGCAGCGACGGACGGACGGACGGACGGACTCTGGCTGTGATGGACCACTCTGACAACTCACACGGGGGATGTGTATACGCCAAAAACTCCATCGGAGCAGTCCCTTACCAATATCTCTGAAAAGCAACCGTGCAGCTGATGGTTTCCCCCCAAAATCGAGTTTCACCACACACATCGATTCGTGTTTCGCGCAACAACCAAGGAAGCGTCTTCGCTCGCTATCCTGCATCCGAGCTAGGAGTGAAGAAGTTCCTAGTAGCTACCTAGTCGTAGGTCGGCGGGGCCGCGGACAGAAGAGAAAGAAAAGACACGCGAGTGCTCTGTGCTCCAGCGAGTCGCTGTAGTAGCACTTGATGTTGAAGAACTTTTCACCGCCCATGTCAGAGCCGAAGCCCGCTTCGGTCAGGACATAGCCGTCCTTGCCCACGAGCTTCAGCCCAATGAGGTCCTCGGCACTCCACTGAAGGGGCGAAGAGCAAAACACCTTGACGGTTCAGAAGCTCTATAGTGTGACCGCACTGGTTGGAGAAAACACATACATGACCTTGCCTTTTTCTGCTTATTTGTTCTTTTTCTGCTTGACTGCTTTGATCTTAGTTGGAAGACTTGCACAACTTGCACTGTTCGATGTTGTCTTGCAGCTGTGGGATTCTGTGACTGCTCTGCTGAACCAAACACTCAACAAACATGGCACCTTGCTGATGAACTATTTGTCCACGTCACCCGCTTTTGCTTAGGGATCTCTTCCACCTCCAACCTCTTTCCGGTGAAAAACAGCTCACAAGAGGGGAGCATCCAGCATCAAGCATCCAGCATCTCTTGAAGCACCTCTTCTCCAAGTTCCAATCCAAGGGGCTGAAATGATGGACGAGTTGCCGTGCGCGATGTTCGCAAAGGGTCCGGCCTCGACCCGGCGGTCTCGACCGCGTCCGGGACCGGACCGGGGCACCGCGGACGACCGGCGCGGCGCTTCAAACCACCGGGCCGAGCTCTGTTCCGTTGTGTGGGAGGAGGAGGAGGAGGGGGGGATAGATCTTAGATCTGTGTAGATCTGTGTGCCAGGACCTTCTCAGTGACCTCTTCAGGATTGGTAAGTGACCTTTTCAAGACCTAAGTGACCTCATTCTGGGATCTCAAAAGGTCACTGGGAAGGTCCTGGCTTGTTCTTTCATGTCATAGACCATCTGAGATACCCAAGAAGTATAGTCTTGCATCAAAGGGACATGGACGAGAGCCGGTGTGCCCTCCAGTGTCTGCATGGTGTTCGGCGGCAAAGCATCCATCATCAGAACTGCCAGTGCTCCTCGCATGAACAAGACATATCAGATTCAATTGCAATCAGGCACCATTTTGGGTGAACCCCAAAACCTCTCAGGTGAAATGAACTTAAGTGCATTTCTTCTTGTGATGCTCTGAGCTCCAATCCCATGCATTCGGGACTGTGCTCGTTCCTGCTTTCCTCTTTTGCACCCAACCCGACCTGTGATGCCAAAATCGTCCGCAGTGATTGGCTCTCCCTACCAGAGTCGAGAGGATGACACGTCGAACACGTGACGTGGTGGTCGTCGTGAGGCAAGAACACACGTCGAGGCGAGACGTCTCCACTGTTGATTCAAAAAAAGAGACGTGATTTGGTTGAAAGAGGCAATTCTATTCGAGTCTCTGAGAATTCCAACAGCTGTTTTGAGGAGAGCAACTACTGAGCAACACACTTGAGAAGGTTGCTCCGTGGAGCGTGATTTCAGGCTGCTT